GCGATGTGGAGGCCAAGGCGCTGGTCGACGCATTGGCTGACACGTTAGTAGAGGCGGAGGCTGAGACACTTTTGGACACATTAGGTGAGGCAGATGCAACGGCACTGGTGGTCACATGGGCTAAAACGTTAGCAGCTGTGAAGGCCGAGACATTTGTCGACACACTAGGAAATTTGGAGGTTGAAACACTGGTCGACACATTGTCTGAAACGTTACCAGATGTGGAGAGTGAAACACGTGCGAACACAGTGGGCGATGTGGAGGCCGAGGCGCTGGTCGACAGTTTAGTTGAGGTGTTAGTAGAGTTGAAGGCCGAGACACTTCCCGACAAACTGGGTGATGTGGAGGTTGAAGCACTGGTCGACACATTGGCTGAAACGTTAGCAGATGTGGAGAGTGACACACCTGGCAACACAGTGGGCGATGTGGAGGCCGACGCGCTGGTCAACAGATTAGCTGACACGTTAGCAGAAGTGAAGGCCGAGACACGCGACGAGGCTCCAGGCGATGTGGCAGTCGAGGCGCTGGTTGACAGATTGGCTGGGAGGTTTGCAGAGATAAAAGCCGAGAAACCTGATAAAACATTGGGCGTTGTGGTGGCCGAGGCACTTGTCGACAGATTAATTGACACGTTCGCAGAGGTGGAGGCCGAGACAACTGCCGAGACATTGGGTGATGTGAAGGCCAAGGCACTGGTGGAGTCACTGGCTGACGCATTAGCAGCGGTGAAGGCCAAGCCACTTACGGACACAGCGGGGGATGTGGAGGCCAAGCTACTGGTCGAGACCTTGGCCAAAACGTTAGCAGAAGTGAAGGATGAGACACTTGCCGACACACTAGGCAATTTGGAGATCAAGGCACTGGTCGACACATTGGCTGAAACGTTTGCAGAAATGGAGGCCGAGATGCTTGCCAACACAGTGGGCGATGTGGAAACCGAGGCATTGGTCGACACATTAGCTGACACGTTAGCCAAGGCGGAGGCCGAGACACTTGCTGAGACATTGGGTGATGGGGAGGAAAAGGCACTGGTCGACGTATTGGCTGAAACATTGCCAGAGGTAAAGGCCGACACACTTGCAGACGCATTGGGCAATGTGGAGGCAAGGGCACCTGTTGTCTCATTGGCTAACACGTTAGCTGCGGTAAAGGCCGAGACGCTTCTCGACACAGTGAGCGATCTGGAGGCAGAGGCACTGGTCGCCACATTGGCTGGCACATTAGCAGAGATGAAGATTGAGACATTTGCCGATACACTGGGCAATGTGAAGGTCGATTCACTGGTCGACATATTGGCTGAAACGTTAGAAAATGTGGGGGGTGAAACACTTGCCAACACAGTGGACAATGTGGAGGCTGAGACACTGGTCGACACATTGGGTGACACGTTAGTAGACGTGGAGGCCAAAGCACTTGCCGACACATTTGGTGATGGGGTGGCCAGGGCACTCGTTAACTCATTCGCTGACACGTTAGCAGAGATAAAGGCCGACACATTTGTCGACACGGTGGGTGACGTGGAGGCAGAGGCACTGGTCGATGCATTGGCTGACAGGTTAGAAGAGGTGAAGGCCGAGACACCTGCCGACACACTGGGCGCTGTGGAGGTTGAGGCTCTGGTTGATACGATGGCTGACACGTTAGCAGAAGTTGAGGCCGAGACACTTGAAGACACATTGGGTGACGTGGAGGCAAGGGCACTGGTCGTCTCATTGGCTAACACGGTAGCAGCAGTGAATGCCGAGACTCTTGTCGACACTGTGAGCGATGTAGGCGGCAGAGGTACTGGTCGACACATTTGCTGACACGTTAGCAGAGGTGAAGACCGAGACATTTGTAGACAGACTGGGCGATGTTGAAGTCGAGGGACTGGTCGACCCATTGGCTGAAACGTTAGCAGATGTGGAGAGTGAAACACTTGTTAACACTGTGGGTGATGTGAAAGCCGAGCCGCCGGTCGAGAGATTAGCTGACACGTTAGCAAAGGTGAAGGACGAGAGACTTGTCGAGACACTGGGCGATGTGGAGGCCGAGACACTGGTAGACAAATTGGCTGACAGCCCAGCAGAGGTGGGAGGCGAGATAATTGCCGGCACACTAAGCGATGTGGAGGTCGAGGCTTTGGTCGACACATAAGCTGACACGTAAGCAGAGGTGAAAGCCGGGACACTTGCCGACACAAACTGCGATATGGAGGTTGAGCCACACACTAGGTGACACACTTGAGAAGAGGTGGAGGCCGAGGCACTGGTCGCTACACTGGCAGCCACAATAGCAGAGGTGAAGGTGGAGACACTTGCGGACTCACTGGGCGATGGGGAGGTCGAGGGACTGGTAGACACACTGGATGACACGCTAGCAGAGGGGGAGGCTGTGGCTAGCAATTTGGAGGCGGACGCTGATCTACATACTAGGTGACACACTTGAGCAGAAGTGGAAGCCGAGACAGTGGTCGACACATTGATTGACACGCTAGGAGAGATGAAGGCCGAGGCATCTGCCGACACACTGGGCGATGTGGAGGTTGATGCACTGGTTGTAACTATGGTTGACAAGTTAGCAGACGTTGAAGCCGAGATACTTGCCGACGCATTAGGTGATGTGGAGGCCAAGGCATTGGTGAACACATTAACTAACACATTAGAAGAGGTAAAGGACGAGACACTTGGAGACACATTGGGCGATGTAGTGGCCGAGGCACTCGTCGACTTATTGGGTGACACGTAAGCAGAGGTGGAGACTGAGACACTTGCCGAGAAACCTGGCGATGTGGACGTCGAGGCACTGCTCGAGAGATTGCCTGACACGTTAGCAGAGGTGTAGGCCAAGACACTTGCCGAGACATTGGGTAATGTGGAGACAAAGGCACTGGTCGATTCACTTGGTGGCACGTTAGCAGAGGTAAAGGCCGAGAGACTTGCCGACACAGTGGGCAATGTGGAGGTCGAGGTACTGGTCGACGCATTTGCTGACACGTTAGCAGAAGCGGAGGCCTCGACACTTCCCAACACATTGGGTGGGGTAAAGGCAAGGACACTGGTCGTCTCCTTGGCTAAAACGTTAGCAGCTGTTTCTAAGACACTTTTCGACACACTAAGAAATGTGGAGGTTGAAACACTGGTCGACACATTTTCTGAGACGTTACCAGATGTGGAAAGTGAAACACTTCCCAACACAGTGGGCGAAGTAGAGGCAGAGGCGCTGGTCGACAGTTTAGCTGAGTTGTTAGCAGGGGTGAAGGCCGAGACACTTGCCGTCACACTGGGCGATGTGGAGGTCGTAGCACTGGGCGACACGGCGGCTGAAACGTTAGCAAATGTGGAAGGTGACACACTTGCCAACACAATGGGCGATGTGGAGGCCAAGGCGCTGGTCGACGCATTGGCTGACACGTTAGTAGAGGCGGAGGCTGAGACACTTTTGGACACATTAGGTGAGGCAGATGCAACGGCACTGGTGGTCACATGGGCTAAAACGTTAGCAGCTGTGAAGGCCGAGACATTTGTCGACACACTAGGAAATTTGGAGGTTGAAACACTGGTCGATACATTGTCTGAAACGTTACCAGATGTGGAGAGTGAAACACGTGCGAACACAGTGGGCGATGTGGAGGCCGAGGCGCTGGTCGACAGTTTAGTTGAGGTGTTAGTAGAGTTGAAGGCCGAGACACTTCCCGACAAACTGGGTGATGTGGAGGTTGAAGCACTGGTCGACACATTGGCTGAAACGTTAGCAGATGTGGAGAGTGACACACCTGGCAACACAGTGGGCGATGTGGAGGCCGACGCGCTGGTCAACAGATTAGCTGACACGTTAGCAGAAGTGAAGGCCGAGACACGCGACGAGGCTCCAGGCGATGTGGCAGTCGAGGCGCTGGTTGACAGATTGGCTGGGAGGTTTGCAGAGATAAAAGCCGAGAAACCTGATGAAACATTGGGCGTTGTGGTGGCCGAGGCACTTGTCGACAGATTAATTGACACGTTCGCAGAGGTGGAGGCCGAGACAACTGCCGAGACATTGGGTGATGTGAAGGCCAAGGCACTGGTGGAGTCACTGGCTGACGCATTAGCAGCGGTGAAGGCCAAGCCACTTACGGACACAGCGGGGGATGTGGAGGCCAAGCTACTGGTCGAGACCTTGGCCACAACGTTAGCAGAAGTGAAGGATGAGACACTTGCCGACACACTAGGCAATTTGGAGATCAAGGCACTGGTCGACACATTGGCTGAAACGTTTGCAGAAATGGAGGCCGAGATGCTTGCCAACACAGTGGGCGATGTGGAAACCGAGGCATTGGTCGACACATTAGCTGACACGTTAGCCAAGGCGGAGGCCGAGACACTTGCTGAGACATTGGGTGATGGGGAGGAAAAGGCACTGGTCGACGTATTGGCTGAAACATTGCCAGAGGTAAAGGCCGACACACTTGCAGACGCATTGGGCAATGTGGAGGCAAGGGCACCTGTTGTCTCATTGGCTAACACGTTAGCTGCGGTAAAGGCCGAGACGCTTCTCGACACAGTGAGCGATCTGGAGGCAGAGGCACTGGTCGCCACATTGGCTGGCACATTAGCAGAGATGAAGATTGAGACATTTGCCGATACACTGGGCAATGTGAAGGTCGATTCACTGGTCGACATATTGGCTGAAACGTTAGAAAATGTGGGGGGTGAAACACTTGCCAACACAGTGGACAATGTGGAGGCTGAGACACTGGTCGACACATTGGGTGACACGTTAGTAGACGTGGAGGCCAAAGCACTTGCCGACACATTTGGTGATGGGGTGGCCAGGGCACTCGTCAACTCATTCGCTGACACGTTAGCAGAGATAAAGGCCGACACATTTGTCGACACGGTGGGTGACGTGGAGGCAGAGGCACTGGTCGATGCATTGGCTGACAGGTTAGAAGAGGTGAAGGCCGAGACACCTGCCGACACACTGGGCGCTGTGGAGGTTGAGGCTCTGGTTGATACGATGGCTGACACGTTAGCAGAAGTTGAGGCCGAGACACTTGAAGACACATTGGGTGACGTGGAGGCAAGGGCACTGGTCGTCTCATTGGCTAACACGGTAGCAGCAGTGAATGCCGAGACTCTTGTCGACACTGTGAGCGATGTAGCGGCAGAGGTACTGGTCGACACATTTGCTGACACGTTAGCAGAGGTGAAGACCGAGACATTTGTAGACAGACTGGGCGATGTTGAAGTCGAGGGACTGGTCGACCCATTGGCTGAAACGTTAGCAGATGTGGAGAGTGAAACACTTGTTAACACTGTGGGTGATGTGAAAGCCGAGCCGCCGGTCGAGAGATTAGCTGACACGTTAGCAAAGGTGAAGGACGAGAGACTTGTCGAGACACTGGGCGATGTGGGGCCGAGACACTGGTAGACAAATTGGCTGACAGCCCAGCAGAGGTGGGAGGCGAGATAATTGCCGGCACACTAAGCGATGTGGAGGTCGAGGCTTTGGTCGACACATAAGCTGACACGTAAGCAGAGGTGAAAGCCGGGACACTTGCCGACACAAACTGCGATATGGAGGTTGAGCCACACACTAGGTGACACACTTGAGAAGAGGTGGAGGCCGAGGCACTGGTCGCTACACTGGCAGCCACAATAGCAGAGGTGAAGGTGGAGACACTTGCGGACTCACTGGGCGATGGGGAGGTCGAGGGACTGGTAGACACACTGGATGACACGCTAGCAGAGGGGGAGGCTGTGGCTAGCAATTTGGAGGCGGACGCTGATCTACATACTAGGTGACAAACTTGGGCAGAATTGGAAGCCGAGACAGTGGTCGACACATTGATTGACACGCTAGGAGATGAAGGCCGAGGCATCTGCCGACACACTGGGCGATGTGGAGGTTGATGCACTGGTTGCAACTATGGTTGACAAGTTAGCAGACGTTGAAGCCGAGATACTTGCCGACGCATTAGGTGATGTGGAGGCCAAGGCATTGGTGAACACATTAACTAACACATTAGAAGAGGTAAAGGACGAGACACTTGGAGACACATTGGGCGATGTAGTGGCCGAGGCACTCGTCGACTTATTGGGTGACACGTAAGCAGAGGTGAACGCCGAGACACTTGTCGACACAATGGGCAATGTGGAGGCCCAGGCACGTTTCGTCACATTGGCTGACACGTTAGCAGAGGTGAAGGCCGAGACACTTGCTGACACATCGGATGATGCGGAGGCCAAGACTCTGGTCGACGCACTCGCTGAAAAATTAGCAGTGGTGAAGGAATGAATGAATGAACAATTTTATTAACGTGTCAAAATTTTCTAGGTGGCCACAAGTAGCCTACCAATCGGGGACACCTAGTTAATAAAATCTGTTTAATAAGCTTAAGGTTACATTCGATAATATTAACAATAAATATTCACTATAAAATTACATTAATAACGTTAACATATTTTTATAAACGTGAATAAATAAATAGATAATAATAACAATAAAATAGTGTACTTTCTAATTAATCTGAAAGTAAATTATCAAATACGGCCTCAAGTACTACACAAGTTAGAATTTCAACATTTGTTCTCAGCTATGAAACTTGAAAAGACTTTCTTTCCAATACTTGTTTTGAAAGCCGATAATGTGGCTAGGTTCCTGTCCTTGTGTCTGCCATATTTTACGGTATCGAACCTGGGAATAAAGAAGTCTGAATTTCGTAAGTTATGACTTGACAATGATACGCTGAGGATTGCGATATCCTGCAGGCGCCTATTGTAAAGACTAGTCATCCGTGCACGCGTAAGTAACTCATCGTATGATGATCTCCAATTGCAAAATGCAGCTCGCAGACCCCGTTCATTGACTCTCTCAAGCTTTCTCCGGTCTGAGCCTCTACAAAAGTGCCAAACGAGGCTACAGAATGTCAGATATCGCAAAATGGCGGCCTTGTATATTCTTCATTTCACTTTCTAGAAAGCTGAAGATATATCGTTACTAAACAACAAGTTCCTGTCAATTAAAAGGCCTAAAAGATTACGTTTATCCAATGGCTGTACTATGAAAGTGTCAATTTCGACATCACGCTGAGTAGAGTCATTTGATAGAAGGAATTATAGGCAATTAATCATGTTGTGAAAAGACATCCTTATTTGAAATGCTTGTTGGGCAGTTTTTCTTTGGATTAGAAAGTGTTTGCAAGTTAGGGCGTTAGTGTTGATTTCGTTTGTAGGTATGTATGAGTTGAGCGGTTGACCCTATACAATTTTGTACTTAATGGGGTTCGATCAAGTATTTTGTAAGGCAAAACGTTCACATTCGAACTTCTGTTACCTACACAGCTTGATATTCATAATAACACATGGATACTCTTGATTATATTTAACTATATTATATTGGTATATACATTTGAAAATGTAGCGCCTTTAGTTTGAAATCGTTGTGAAATCTCAGAGCATTACTTGTACGATGGTAAAGATGGGCACAGAGACTGTGTTTTTGCTATTTGATAAATGAAGTTTAGAAAACGATTGTAGGTAAATTAATACAACATTTTAACACATTTCTTTACATGATCTGTTTTCGAATAGAACTACGATTACGAAAGGGGAAAGGGCTTTCTTCTTTGTCGTACTTGTTTTCGGTGCTTAGCTACTTTCCTCCAGCTGTCCTTGAAAAGCTTGTGATTTTCAATTTCTTTTTTACTTTCTTACTCTGGCTACCACTGAGGTACATTAATTGGCCTCTTTCGATCAGATTTTAGTTTGTTAAAGAAGACCTCGTCATGATCCAACTAAAAGTTGGCCAGCACTAAAAATCACTTACACCTTGTTTACTAAAAGCAATTTTAAAGGACCAGAAAACATACATTTCACCTTTTAAAACAATCCACGCTAAAACGAAATGTATTTTCAGCTGTTATTTTTCCTAAATACGTTTTCCTAAACTTGCGGTTTAAAAGTTTGTTTTTGGTATTTTCAAAGAAAGGCAGAACAGAAAGGCAACTGAGGCAACTGGGAATAGGACCCACCATTTCCTCGTTTATAAGATCCCGGTGAACGTAGTCCTGAAAAGGACTTTCGTTGACAGTGACTGATGTTTTGAACACCTTGAGGTAGTCATCTTCAGAGTCAAAGTGAGTTGTATCATGTCAGTTGATGGTATTAAACTCTGCTTATTGACGTGATTGGTCAATTAAGTCGCGATGTCATTGGTCTTCTGTCAGTTAAGCCGTGATGCTATTGGCTATGATGTCACTGGTGCATAATTTTTGCTCAAATTTTATTTACCCTTAAACGGCCCGGTAGAGTTTCACCTTATACGGTCTTGTTTGTACGACATGCAATACCAGAATCATTATGATTTACTTTTTGAGAATGAAATATGAACTCAGCACATAAGTATGAATGAAGGGGTATAATTCCTAGGATATACCATTTAAATCCGAGGCCCCATAAACACACTTATTTGGATAAATTTAAAACGGCATCTTTCTTCCGGGTTTGACCTAAACAGATATAATGAATCCATTCCTTACACAACGCTAACAGAAAAAACACTCGATTAATTTTAAAGGTGTTGTCGAAATTACCTTTTCCATCGGTGACACTTGTGGACTATCTAGTTGACAAGTTAGCAGAGGTCGAAGTAGAGTCACTTAGTGAGAAACCACTTGATGGCGAGATAGCAGAAGTAGAATTCGAGAAACGGACTGTCACAATAGCCTCGGTAAACGCCGAGACACTTGGTATTGCACTTGCTGGAAAGTTAGAAAAATTAGTGATCGAGTTACTGGCCATGACACTGGCCGGGAAGAGTCCAAGCCACTTGGCACCGACCTGTTTGATAAGTTAGCAGACGTAGAGGTTGAATCAGTAAGCGTGGAAATGATCGGTGAGACCAAGACACTTGGTAACACTTGGTTGACAAGTTAGAGGTGTTGGAGGTCGATTCACTGGGTGCAACAATTATCGAGGTGGAGACCGAGATGATTCACGAACTTCTGCCTGACAAGGTAGCAGAGGAAGTAATCGAGGTACTGGGTGCGATAATCGTCGCGTTAGAGACTGAGACACTTGACGACACCTTTGTCGATAAGTTAGCAGGCGAAAAGGCCAAATAACTGGGCGTGGAACTTGTCGGAGTAGAGCCCGAGACACTTAACGACACACTGATTGACAAGTTATCAGGGGTAAAGGTAGAATCGTTGGACCTAACACGTATGAGAGTGGAAGCCAGGACACTTCGTGCCACACTGGTTGACAGGTAAGAAGTAGAAATCAAAGGACTGGGCAGTTTTGACAACAACATTAACAATCACGGCAAACGCCTTCTTGAAATCTGCAGAAGCGCAGATCTTAGAATACTTAACGGTAGAGTTAGTGGAGACTCCTTAGGAAGAGCCAGATTTCATGGAAAGGCTGGAATAAGTGTCGTTGATTATGCCATATCATGTGATCAAACGTTATTTTCACACATACTAAACTTTATTGTTAAAGAGCCCACGAATTTATCGGATCATAGTCCACTGGTGACCTGGTTATGTACTGACACCGATATTCGTAATCAAGATCCTTCACCAGAGAGTGATACTTTAGCACGATTACAAAAACAATTTACGTGGGAAAGTGACTCTACACCAAAATTCAAAGCAGCGCTTCAATCTCCAAATTTGCAAATGATAATTCACGAATATTTAAGTGACATCAATTCAGCTAAAAATGTTAACACTTCCGCGGAACAGGTAGAAAATATTCTTATCACAACGGCAAAACGGTGCCTAAAGATAAGAACGACGAGACGACATAAACGCACCTATTCACGCTCAAATAAAAAATGGTATGATAAGGAATGTCGCTTAAAAAGATACGAATTAAGGAAATTGTCAAATGAAAAACACAGAGATCCCTTAAATACCACTCTACGTGAAAAATATCATATTGTTTTACAGCAGTATAAGAAATTACTCCCACATAAAAGAAATGAATATTACAACGATAAAATTTCAGAATTAGAGGATATAACGTACAATTTGGATACTAAAAAATTTTGGAATTGCTTATAATCAATGGATGACACTATAAAATACAAAAACACTCCACCAATTGCAGAAGAGAATTGAATGAATTATTTCCAGTGTCTACATTCTAATACGCCACTTACTTCTGAGCAACAGAAAGTTGTCAATGAGTTAAGAACACGAGAAGACGTCTTAATGCAATCACGACCTCTAGACTACTTCATAACAGAAGCTGAAATAAGCAAGGCGGCAAGAAAATTAAAGAATAACAAATCTGCATACTCCGACAAAATAAGAAATGAAATGATTAAAGCTAGCTTACCAACACTCCTACCTGTTTACCATAAACTTTTTAATACTGTTCTTAACTTAGGAACAGTGCCTAAAAATTGGTGCAACGGTCTTATAACTCCCATATTTAAATCTGGCGTAAGAAATGACCCATCACTAGGAAAGTTGTTCTTTTCAATTTTAAACCAAAGACTTCTTGAACACGTCACTTCGCTGAACATACTCCACAAGTCTCAAATCGGCTTCTTACCTAAAAATCGAACATCAGACCACCTCCTAACATTACGAACTCTTATAGACAAGTACGTACACTGTCACGGTGAGAAAGTATACGCTTGTTTTGTTGACCTTAGAAAAGCCTTTGACTCAGTCTGGCATGACGGACTTTTATATAAATTATTACAAATTGTTGTAGGGGGATGTTTCTATAAGTTAATCCAAAACCTATATTCAAACTCTTCGTGTGCATTGAAAATAGGTACGAGTCAAAAAAAATTTTTTAGCTATTCACGAGGCGTACGCCAGGGCTGTATTTTAAGCCCCTTACTTTTCAATTTATACGTTAATGACTTACCGTCCGCATTTTAAAATACTTTATCAGACCCTATCATCCTTCCAAATGGTACCAAATTAAATTCGCTTTTATATGCTGATGATTTAATTATTATATCACGATCTAAAATAGGATTACAGAACTGTCTCAACATATTATCCTCTTTTTGCAACTCTTGGATGTTACATATTCCAACAAGACCAAAGTTATGGTCTTTCAAAAACGAGCGAGGAAAAACTCAAATCTAGAATTCCATATAGGTAAAGAAACCATTGATATTGTCCATGAATATACATATTTAGGAACCCGTATCTCCTCAACCGGTTATTTTAATATCTCACTCGAACACTTGAAAGAGAAGGCTCTTCATGCTCTTTTTAGTTTAAGAAAACACACAAAGTTTAGCAAATTAAAACCTTCTCTTGCTTGCAAAATATTTGAAACGATGATTTCCCCAATATTATCATATAATAGCGAAATTTGGGTTGTATATGTAAAACATGATTTTATAGCTTGGGACAATACCCCAATTGAAAAAACCCACTTGAAATTTTGCAAGCGTTACCTAAAAATAAGCAATAAAGCTTCAAATGTTGCAAGTAGAAGTGAATTAGGACGGTTTCCATTAATTATTAATATTTATAAAAACATCCTTTATTACATATTGTATCTTCTGCGTAAAAACGAGGATACTATTGTTAAACAAGCCTTTCGTACTTCGCTAGAACTTCACTGTAATGGTAAAAATAGCTTTTACCATAATCTTCTGAAAATATCTGAATATTATGACCTCCCTGATTTTGACCCTAATAATTTAAGTGAAGCTAAGATCAAACACATATAGAGATAATAAAACAAAAATATATTGCATATTGGCAACATACAATCCATCATTCTAAGAAACTACAATTTTACGGCTTATTTAAACATGATTATAAAATTTCAAGTTATCTAGACTTAATTAGAAATTCTGCTAATAGGAAAGATTTAGTGAAAATTCGTATAAGTAACCACAAACTCATGACTGAAACCGGAAGATATAATCAAACTTCCCGCAACGATAGATTCTGCCCTATTTGTAACTCTGCCATAATTGAAGACGAATTTCATTTTCTCTTCCATTGTCCAAAATACTCAATCCCAAAGGAGAAATTCTACAATCAAATCCAACAAAATTTTGTCGACTTTAATCAGCTATCTTACACAGAATTAATAATTAAATTGATGAATTCACAGAATTTTTCCGTAATTTCACATTTGTTGAAATTTGTCTCATTATGTAATGATTTACGTAATAATTTGTTATCAAATCATGCTGATGACACTTGATTGACTATAGTAATCATTGCATTGCATTATCATTGTTATGATTTGTTTTTTTGTTTGTTTGTTTGTTTTTTTTTTGTGTTAAAGCTTTTGCAATGCTGTAACTACATAATTATAGTCATGCAAAAAAAGCTTATGTTGTTGTTGTTGTTGTTGTTAAGAAAGAGGCAGTTCCTGAAACACTGATTGGAAAGTTAGGAGAGGAAATGATCGAGTTACTTGGCGTCTCATAATTCGAGGCAAAGGCCAGGACACTTGTAGACACAGTGGCTGACACGCTGGTAGAGGATGAAGTCGATTTACTTGCTGTGACACTAGTTAGGGTAGAGATGAAGACACCATTCGCGACATAGGTTTACACATGAGCAGTGCTTGAAGTCGTGTTTTTGGGTACCTTGCTGGCAGAGGTTGAGGCCAAGGCACTTTTGAATACTCTGGTACACAAGCTATAGGTAATTGCATCTATTGTTGTCGCTGAACTTTGTTTTTTAAAAAGCAATTTTGGCATGTCATTCTTCTAATGAACAAAGGGCCCGGCTTAAATAAATATTTGATGTTTAGTCGTAAGGCTTTGTTGGTTTTTTGTCCTATAAGAGAGTGAAAAAATCATCGATTACTTCATGAAATTAAACGTTTGAATGAACACCAAATTTTAAATAATCCTAAAACGATGATAGAGATGTGATGGTGAATTTTGACTCTGTGAATACCTGAGGAACATGATTTTTCAATTAGTGACACAAGCGGCTCGGAAGAAAAAATCCGAGTGCTTCCAATAGGAGTCGAATCTATGACCTTCTGACTATCACCCTCGGTCGGTAAGGACCCAGCTGCAAAAATAAATGTTCGAATAGTACTAGTTGACAGCGTTCCTTCTGCTTGTCCTCTTTGTCTTCAGACCTGACACGCTTGCAAGTTCGACCCTTCCTCAATTTTGTTTCACGATGTTAGACGTAATGAGTAAATATAACGTCTTGGGTGACCAACATTTATCACCAAAACCAAGGTTTTGTATCTTTCTTTTAGCGCTCTTTGCAAGCAAAGCTCGACTTTTGTGTCCAAAAATTTACCTGAAAGTAATATTGAAAAAAGAAACGCCCAAGGAGATCCGTAAGGAAACATCAGTACCCTTTCTTCCAGATGTTTTTGTCTTCTTCAAGAAAATCCGAGAACGTGCCTATGCTAACGACGCATCAATTTGATTTGAAGAAGGGGCTAGATAACCATCTTTGATGAGGCCTGCGTATCGGAGGTTTTAACTTTTTCCGCAGTCTCCCGATTTTATCATGTGCCAAGTGAAGTCTCTATGGGGAGCATTTTGGTTATATCAATCACTGGTCCACACTGGAATTCTGAGACAGTATGAGTGCCATGTCCATCTATTTCCGCTTTATTTCAAGTGTCTTTGCTACGTCCATGAACATCAAATAACTTGTGTACACTCGTGAATACTCACAATTCAATGGATGATTTGAAATAGTGACGTTAGTGCCATTTTTGATAAGTGTGCAAGTCTCCTTTCTGTGTCTCCATTTTTTTAAAATTCCGCAGCAACTTTAAACAAAAGTCTTTGATTTTAGAGCGAGTGGTTTCGAAAAGTAGTTTTCCCGGTGGACAAATTATCCGGATCCGTAGAAACGGTGGCAGGCCTTACTAAGCTTAACT